GGGCCATTGGCTGACCCTGCAGGCACTTCTTATGTTCTTTCGAAATGCTTTTGGACTTCCAACTCCCGCCAGCCCCAGGGTTCACGGCCACAAATGACTGTGTTCTACCTCCACTGTCGGAGACAATGTCTCTGAATTCCGGTTGCTGTGAATCACTTGCTCCTACATTCCTGAGCCCGCTGAGTTAAGTTAGAAGCACTGGGTTGTAGCCCACTGAATTTCACTTCACCCTTTGAAATTAATGGACCTAAGTAAGTCATGTACACTACCACAATACCTACCTGGACCCTGAGTTCATCATCTGAGACCCTTCTTCTTGTACCTCTTCTACAAGAGGTCTGGAGCGTGGCAACACGAGAACAGGCCTTTTCTGCAGGGGCTCCCTGTTTGCAGAATGCTCTCCCCAGGGAGGTTCACCTGGTACCTTCATTCTACACCTTTAGGTACCAGGTGAAGACACTCATTTTCAACCAGGCCTTTTGTTGATTGACATCTGCTGCCCTTTTAAATGTGTTATGGGAGAGTGGGTTATTGGTTGCTTGTTGCTATTATTTTTACTACGTATCCTGTGGTTTTTATATCGTAATTTTATGTTGTGAAGCACATCAAGATCTGTGGATGAAGGGCAGTATGCACATCATCATCATCATCATCATAGATCGACTCTGCTTGTGACGAATGTTGGAAGTTTAGCTCTGTTTAGTGATCAATTGCTGATTTCTACATATATAAACACCAGGACGCGGGTGGCACTGTGGGCTAAACCACAGAGCCTAGGGCTTGCCAATCAGAAGGTCAGCAGTTCGAACCCCATGACGAGGTGAGCTCCCGTTGTTCAATCCCTGCTCCTGCCAACCTAGCAGTTCGAAAGCACGTCAAAGTGCAAGTAGATAAATAGGTACCGCTCTGGCGGGAAGGTAAACGGTGTTTCTGTGCGCTGCTCTGGTTCGCCAGAAGCGGCTTAGTCATGCTGGCCACATGACCCGGAAGCTGTACACTGGCTCCCTCGGCCAGTAAAGTGAGATGAGCGCCGCAACCCCAGAGTTGGTCACGACTGGACCTAATGGTCAGGGGTCCCCTTTACCTTTACCTTACATATATAAACACACTGCTAAAGGCACAAGAGCAGACTAGAATGTGTTCCCCCCTTCTTGGCCTGTTGGTAACCTTACTTGCATGCCATGTCAAAATCTCCAAGATTTTGTTCTTAATAATTTTCTTTTCCAGCAAGCTATAAGTGGGGACATACATAGGAAGCTGCATGGCCAAGGGATCAGAAAACTGGTCAGCCTAGCTCAGTATTGTCTATCTGACCATGGCAGTGTCTCTTCAGGGTTCCATCAGGAGCCCCTTCTGCCCGAATCATGGAGATTTTTCTAATAACATGCAAATCGGATTGCCAACAGGGGAGGGGGGACCCTAAACTCCAGCTATCCTTTTATATCAGGGACAGCCACATTTGTTCTTTTTTTGGGGTGGGGGTCTTGGTGAAGAGGGGATGCCTTGTTAAAATATTATCCGTGCACATTGCTAGAGTTACCTGTGGGATGTAATCCATTGGAACAGTCAAATGCAACATTCCTTATTTTCCTAGAGTAGGCACAGGCAAGGGGCGCGTTTCTCCAGTCAGTGTAACTTCCTGTTCTACTGGTCTGAAGCGCCCTCCCCCTGCATGTGACCTGGGAGATGGGCATGGCCCTGGCTGACTCCATAAAAGAGGTGAGTCATACTGCCATTTTCTCTCTCTCGCTCTCCATCTCTTGCTTGCTGCTCTCTTGTTGCCACGCTGCTCTCCTGCAGCCATTTTGTTCTCTTAATGTAATTTTGCTGTCTGCTGGCTCTGAGCCAGCAGCACATGAGCTCAGTCTCCATGTGAGATGAACTCACAGATTGTTATGTAACTACTAAGTAAAGCCTGCCTTTCAGGGATCAAATTGTGAACTGAAATGTGAGTAAACTTCTTGTTACTTTTAAGGAAAGACTTGTGTCTTTATTCTTTTAAGAGGGATGGAAGGGGACACCAGGAATCAAGGCAACCCAGATTGGATTACTTAACAAAAGAGATTCAAGTAAATCTGCAAACTAGCTTCCTGCTATATTAAGGGAAATCTGCTCTGCTACATCACACACTAGTGTGAGTGAAGGAAGGATAATACTTATTCAATATATCCTTTCCTACTATCCTTAACAGTCCCACAATACCCTTCTTCAGGATAGAGCTCTCTCCCCAGGGTCTATAGGTTCATTTCGGAGTGAAGGGTTCAAGCAGAGGGGTTTTGTGCGTGCAAATCTCACACTCCCCTCTTTTAATCAAAGAAACATAGGGAAGATGGATATAAACACCTGTGGCCCATCCCAATGTTGTCGGACTCAAATCCCTGCAACCCCAGCCAGCATGTCCAATGGTCAGGAGGGGCACAGAGTCTCTATTCTCGCTAGACACACATTTCTTGGGCTCTGTGTATCCACCTGGCTTTGCAAACAAGAAGCACCACAATCGGGGGATGGATTCTTTATTTCTTTGGAATAAAAAGTTTTCCTTCTGTAGAAAGTGTAGCGTTTCATTTCAAGAACTGCATCACGTTCTAGTAGCAGTACAGCTCTTCTGTTGAAATCTCAGTGGATACATCACTCTTGTTCTTAAGATGTGTAGCACATTTTAAGGGACGGGAATAAAACACCTGGATTTCTGCATGCCCTTGTTGAGGTAGCCAAGTGTGATCATCCCTGGTTGACAACATTATGGCTCCCTGTGTGCAGATGGACTCCAACTCCCATCAGCCTCAGCCAACATTATATCCCGGTCAGGGATATTATGGGAGTTGGAGTCAAACCACATAAGGTGCCTTGTCCCTGCTATACACTTTCCTGGGAATAATTCCCATTAAACTCAATGGGGCTTACTTCCAAGTGACCATTTATATAGATCTGTGGTGCCTATGACTAGTTTGCAGCGTATGTGTCTACTCAGAAGTTCTCATTGAGTCCAATGAGGCTTACTCTCAGGAAGGTAGTGACAGCTGAAGCCTATGTCCCAGGTGCCATGAGAATCCTGAAGGATGAAAAGTCAGCCGAGATGTACTACATTAAGGCTGCAATTTTAAATGAAATTTATCCAGGCAACTGATCACCAACTGAGCTATCCAGCTGATAGGCACCCTGGCTTGGGAGCAAATTCTGTAAAATCAGCGGGGCTGAAATTCCAAAAAACAAACAAACAAAAAAAACCCAGGGGATCCTAAGAGTTGGAGAGTGCTTTATAGGTAGTTTAGTCCATGGAAAAGGACCTGTGACCCTCTATATCAAGGGGCAGCGAATCTGTAGCTCTCTAGCTGTTGTTGAACTACAACTCTCCCCATCCGTGACCATTGGTTATGCTGGCTGGTTATGTTGGGAGTTGTAGTTCGGGAGTTGGAGGAGCACAGATTCCCTACACCTGCTCTAGATATTCTTGGGACTCCCAAGTCCCATCAGCTCCAATGGTCAGAGCTAATGGATACACAAGCCAACCACATCTGGAGAGCTATATGTTCCCTAAAGCCAGGCCTGTCTATCTTGTTTTGGGCTACATACAAGCAAGGAGACGGTAGAACTCACAATCCTCTAATTGTTGTGTAGAAGGTGTAGCTTTTCACACCATTGTGTAATAAGTTTCAGTCACCTGTGAGCAAGCACGGGCATGCCATACTATTAATCTCTGCAACAGCTGCGAAAGGCTCAATGCGAGTTTGCAAAATTTCTTTTCAGATTTGGGGAGGCGACAAATGACCTGATTTTGTTGGAGGAGTGGCACTCTTGTATATGATCTGCCATCTTCTGATTTCTTTAAAAAGTCGGGACTTTTTCAGATTATTGAACCTACACAGTTTGCCACTGTGTTGGATTGACTTTGTGATGCTCTGAGCAGATCCATTGAAATCAATGGGACTTAAGCCTAGGCAGTGGCATAGCAAGGTCAGGTGGTACCCAGGGCGAAAAAATTCTTCTCTCCCTACCCCCCTGAAATCTAGTTGGACTCCCAAGAGACTGTGATCTACTCACAGTATAAAAAGACTGGCTGTGATCTATCCACTTTTTGGGGGGGGGGTTCCTCCGCTGGTTTGCTCGCCTGCCTCCTTCCCATCCTCTCCCTCCCTGCCTGCCTGCCTCCTCCAGTAGGACTATCAAAACGAAGGGGGAAGGGGAGAAGGATGCCTGCAAAGCACTGCAGCTACCGCCCTTCCCACCATGGCTCAGGGTAGGCAGGAGTTGCGGGTGGACGTGGCGCCAAATGTCACCCCCTTAGGAGACGACACCCAGGGCGCTCCACCCCCAACGCACTCACCTTGCTCTGCCCCTGAGTCTAGGAATGACTAGAGTTGTGGACCCAACTCTAGGGGTTTCCCCTCACTTGATAGATTACCAATATGCACAAGTGCATATAAATTCATGGAGAGCAAAGCTGCCAGTGGCTGCTAGTTATGGTGGTTGCATGGTACCTCCAGGATTAGGAACAACATATCTCTAGATGGGATCCGGGTGGCGCTGTGGGTTAAACCACAGTGCCTAGGACTTGCCGATCAGAAGGTCAGCAGTTTGAATCCCTGCGACGGGGTGAGCTCCCGTTGCTCGGTCCCTGCTCCTGCCCACCTAGCAGTTCGAAAGCACATCAAAGTGCAAGTAGATAAATAGGTACTGCTCCGGTGGGAAGGTAAACGGCATTTCCGTGCGCTGCTCTGGTTTGCCAGAAGCGGCTTAGTCATGCTGGCCACATGACCCGGAAGCTGTACGCCGGCTCCATCGGCCAGTAAAGCGAGATGAGCGCCGCAACCCCAGAGTCGGCCACGACTGGACCTAATGGTCAGGGGTCCCTTTACCTTTACTTATCTCTAGATGCCAGTCATGGGGAATAGTAGCAGGAGAAGGACAGGCGTCCTCATGTTCTGCCTGTGAGATTCCCTGAGTTATCTGGTTGGCCACTTGAAGAGACAAAAGGCTGGTGTCTGGTTTGATGCAAGAGGGATTGTACATTGCTAAGGTTTATTTTTGTGCCCGAAAGAAACCTGAAAGGGGAAAGGGCACAAATGAAAAACTGCAGCATAAGACACACTTGGAATTAATTTTCGGCACTGGTTATACCAGGAGGCAGGCAGAGTGGGACGTGAAGCAGAGCCAACCCTCAGAACAGTAATGAAAACATCTGCTTGTCCCCAAGGCAGACTTCTGATTCCCAAATGACTCATCTAAGCAGTAGGAAATACTGCCAGAATCTAGAGCTCATGTCACTGGGCTGCAGAGCTGCAGAGCAAAATATATCTATTCCACCCCCGCCCACTAAAAACCCCTAGAAGAAATATTGCATTTAACCCCATCATATATTTTCGCAAAATAGCCGTGGAATATTCAACTCTTTTAAAAAATAATTTTGCTTTCTGTGGGTATGCTTGTAACTGTGATGTATCCCCAGAAAGCAAATTTTAAAGTCTCCCTCAAGCAGGTATTCACAAAAGAAGCAATGAATGTAATATCTCAGCCTTCTTAAAGAGAGCACCTTGGCTGAGTGGTGATGATTCAAAGAAATAGCCCAGACTGTGAATATCAAACATTTGTGGGGGCCCTACAAGGCAAACCATCCAAAAAAATTTAAAGCAACAACTTTGATATATATATTTTTTTCAACCGCATGTTTGGGAAGAATGCGAATTTCCTGATCTTGGTTTCGTGTTCTGGAGTAGCAAAGGCTGGGCTACGTGGAGACGCTTTTCTCTCGTGAGTTATTTGCTCAGTTCCAGTGTCCACAAACAGCTCGGAAGTTATTTAGGACTTAAAGCAAGCTGAGCAGCTGACGAGCTTGGAGGAATTCAAGTGCGGTTTGACGACATCGGGTTCGACGGGCTGCACTGGGTCGCTCTCGCTAGCAATGATATGTTTCACCAAGCACCTGGAAGCTTCGTCAATGTTTATGTTTTCCTGCAGGTGAAGGAAAAAAGAAGAAGCACAAGTTACCGTATTTTTCGCTCTATAACACGCACCTGACCATAACACGCACATCGTTTTTAGAGGAGGAAAACAAGGGAAAAAACATTCTGAATGAAACAGTGGATGTATCATTTTTGTGCTTCATGCTGTGGCCACAGACATGTGATCTGATGGTGAATTTGGGGTGACCCAATGCAAAAATCCTGATAATTCCTGTGGATCCATGCTTTGTAACCACGTTTTTTGCACCATTGCAGCCCCAGGCAACAGTGGGTGCGTGATTTTTTGGGTGCAGGCTGTAGCCATGGACATGCTATGTGATCTGATGGTGAATTTGGGGTGACCCAATGCAAAGATCCTGAGAATCCCTGTGGATCCATGCTTTGTAACCACGTTTTTGCACCATTGCAGCCCCAGGCAACAGTGGGTGCGTGCTTTTTTTGGTGCAGGCTGTAGCCATGGACATGCTATGTGATCTGATGGTGAATTTGGGGTGACCCAATGCAAAGATCCTGAGGATCCATGTGGATCCATGCTTTTTAACCACGTGTTTGCACCATTGCAGCCCCAGGCAACAGTGGGTGCGTGATTTTTTTGGTGCAGGCTGTAGCCATGGACATGCTATGTGATCTGATGGTGAATTTGGGGTGACCCAATGCAAAGATCCTGAGGATCCATGTGGATCCATGCTTTTTAACCACGTTTTTGCACCATTGCAGCCCCAGGCAACAGTGGGTGCGTGATTTTTTTGGTGCAGGCTGTAGCCATGGACATGCTATGTGATCTGATGGTGAATTTGGGGTGACCCAATGCAAAGATCCATGTTGATCTATGCTTTGTAACCACATTTTAAGTGGGGAGCGAAGGAAAAACAAAGAAGGGACATGAGAGGGGTGTGCAGAGAAGCAGCTGGCTAAGAATGCTGGAGAGGGATTTAACGGGTGGGAGGCAAAAGTTCCCCCCCAAGCCAGCCATCTCTCTCTCTCTCTCTCTCTCTCTCTCTCTCTCTCTCTCTCTCTCTCCCTCCCCCCCTCTCCCTCTCCCTCTCCCTCTCCCCCAGCAGTACCGGAGCACAGAGACGACACTTTCCCCTCTGCTTGCCTGGAGGGGAGGGGCTTTCCCTGCTCTTTGTTCCGTTTCAGCAATCACAGCAACGAAACAGAGGGGGGTGGGCAGTAAGACCCTGAGGCAGAATACAGGAAAGCTGCCACTTCCTCTTTTTAGGTTTCCCTTCTCCGTGAAGAGCGATTTGACTTTTGCTTGATTTTTTGGCTCCAGGGACCACACATTCGCTCCATAACACGCACAGACATTTCCCCTTTCTTTTTAGGAGAAAAAATCTGCGTGTTATAGAGGGGAAAATACGGTAGATCTCGGGTCTACCCAGTTCAGTATTGCTCACACTGACTGGCAGCAGCTGGATATGATTTCAGGCAGGAGTCTTTCCCATCCCTTCCTGGAAATACCATCCGGGATTGAACCAGGAGCCTTCTGCCCGCAAGGCAGCTGCTCTGCCACTGTATCCAAAGGCAACACGATGACCAAGTACAACAATGCGATGTCAATATAAACTCTTTATATACCGTATTTTTTGCTCCATAAGACACACTTTTTTTCCTCCTAAAAAGTAAGGGGGAATGTCTGTGCGTCTTATGGAGCGAATGCATGGTCCCTGGAGCCAAATTGCCCGGGGGCAAAAAGCAGATCATGCTCTTTTTTTTTAGAAAGAGGGAAGGGGGTGTTGAAACAAAGCCGCTGAGCAGCTGAGCAGCAAGCGATCGGGAGGGGTGATAAGGGACTCTAGAGCAGTGTTTCCCAACCGGTGTTCCGCGGCACACTAGTGTGCCGTGAGACCTTGCCTGGTGTGCCGTGGGAGGGAGGCGGGAGAGGCGGGGCGGCGGCGGCATCTCCTGCTGGATGCAAATCCAAACATGGCGGGCGCCTCCCTCGCTCCTTTGTAGGCGGACCATCGAGAGAGAAAGAAAAGGAGGCGAAAGAGCGAGAGAAGGCGCCTGCGCGGAAAGAGGAGCGAGCAGTGCGCCTGCGCGCTGCGGCGCCCGAGATCGCTTCTCCCCACCGCCCCTTGCTTCAAAAGAGGTCCGGGGACAGCGGGAAGCGCTTCGCGCTGCCCCCGGACCTCTTTTGAAGCAAGGGTTTGCGGGGAGAAGCGATCTCCCCGCAGCCCCTTGCTTCAAAAGAGGTCCGGGGGCAGCGGGAAGCGCAGCGCTTCTTCCCCGCTGCCCCCGGACCTCTTCTGAAGCAAGGGGCTGCGGGGAGATCGCTTCTCCCGGTGCTCCGAAGCGGGGCGGTGGGGCGGGAACACCTGCCCCAGCCGCCCCGCTTCGGAGCGCTGCTCCGAAGCGGGGCGGTGGGGCGGGAACCTCGCACCCCGCCGCCGGGCATCGGAACGATGCCCCGATGCCGGGCGGTGGGGCGGGAACCTCGCACCCCGCCGCCGGGCATCGGAACGAGGTCCTGGACCTCTTCTGAAGGCAGGCGGGGGCAAAAGTCTTTGCTCCCCCCGCCTGCCTTCCCGGGACAGCGGAGACTTCTCCGCTGCCCCGGGCGATCTTAAAATGCTGGCGGGCGGGAGCGAAGCGTTCGCTGCCGACCCCCAGCATTTTAAAATCTCCTCGGGGCAGCGGAGACTTCGCTCCCGCCCGCCAGCATTTTAAAATCGCCCCGGGACAGCAGGGGCTTTTAAAATGCTGGCGGTCGGCAGCAAAGCCCTCCTGTCCCCGGAGCTTGCGGGGCGGGAGGTGGGAAGAAGGGCTTTTCTTCCCACCGCCAGCCTTCAGAACAGCCTTCTGAAGGCTGGCAGTGGGAAGAAAAGCCCTTGTCCCCCCCCCCCAGCCTTCAGAAGAGGTCGGGGGACAGACTGTCCCCGGACCTGGTCTGAAGGCGGTTTCCCTAGGAACGCATTAATTGATTTTCAATGCATTCCTATGGGAAACCGTGCATCGCAAGACGAAAAACTCGCAAGACGAAGAGACTTGCGGAATGAATTAATTTCGTCTTGCGAGGCACCACTGTACTTTTTATATAGTCAATATAGGCACAGAGTTAAATTTTTAAACATTTTCTAATGGTGGTGTGCCTCGAGATTTTTTTCATGAAACAAGTGTGCCTTTGCCCAAAAAAGGTTGGGAAACACTGCTCTAGAGATAAAGGAGGCTGCCTGGGAGGGAGAGGTAAAGACAGCAAACTTGCAAGGAGAGGAGACAAGAAGTTTAAAGCAATGAGGAAAGAAATTAGAAGAAAAGGAGGAGCAAAAAACTGCTTCAGCTAAGGAAAATACACTAAGGCAAACAAGAGGGAAGGGAGTGTTGAAACAAAGCCACTGAGCAGCTGATTGGCAAGGGATCAGGAGGGACATAAGGGGGAGGGAGGGGGAGGTAAAAGCACAGGGATCCTCAGGATTTTTGCATTGGGTCACCCCAAATTCTCCATCAGATCACATAGCATGTCCATGGCTACAGCCTGCACCAAAAAACCCACTCATCTACTGTTTTGTGGAGCTGCAATGTCGCAAAAACGTGGTTACAAAGCACCGATCCACATGGATCCTCAGGATTTTTGCATTGGGCTACCCCAAACTCACTGTCGAATCACATATCATGTCTGTGGCCACAGCATGAACCACAAAAATCATACACCCACTGTTTCACTCAGAATTTTTTTTTTTCTTGTTTACCTCCTCTAAAAACTAGGTGCGTCTTATGGTCAGGTGCATTTTACGGAGCGAAAAATATGGTAATCTATACAGAACAATGTACAATATGAAAAATATGAAATATGCACTCTGCAAAACCAAATAAACAGAAATCTTCTAAAGCTCTGAAAGTCACAAAATATGCACTCTTGATGGATTCTCAAACATAATTCTTATAGGTCTCTGAACGTCTTTGTGGGCTATGCCACTGAGCTACCCAGAAGGTTGGTCTGGATGCTCTTTGAGGGACTTTCCTATCACCAATTCTCTGCCAATAGCATTGAGTGCGTATTGACGGATCCAGCTGAAAGTGCTGGCTTTAATGGTTAAGGCTTGAACAGTTTGGGACCTTGTTATTTTAAGGGCCACCACCTATTATTAAATTTCTACACCACCTTTCATCTGAAGACCACAGGGCAGTTAACGATGTAAAAACACAAACATACATGCCATAATAATGAAAGCAATGACACTACACACATGGAAAGCTTTCCAAGCCTTCGATTGGCCTCCAAGGTCCTGTCCTCTGGCCCCCCCGTAATCATCAGACTGATGTCTCGCTAGCTGTCTCCCAGGAAGTGTGCATCCCCCCTTTATTGGTGATCCATTTTGCCTACTACCTCATCGGATTTTGTGGCTTTCACGCTGGGACTAATGTTTTTGCTGCTGCTGTTTTTGGTTGTTTTGACATTTATTGGCCTGTTTTTAATTCTGTTATATACCTGATGCATTGCTTGTCTGTACTTGTGAAGGTTTAGCATGACAGGCAAGGTATAAATATCTGAAATGCAAACATACAAAAGGAGGAAAGTGGCACAGACTGGAGTCTGAATATAGCAAAGGCAGTTGAAGCGAACAAATGAACTCTGGGTTAAGTTTAAGAATCCTGAACAGGCAGCTCATACCCACCCAGCGACTGGGGGAAAATGGGACGTCCCATTTTTTCATGCACGATCACAGCAGCCATTTTGAATGTGCACTCTCGCTCTCTCCCCAAGAAAAACACTTTTTTGTGCTGTGATCTTGCACAGTGCCAAAAAAAGTGCATTTTCGGGTGTCATGCGAGATCCCACCCTGAAAAAGCATTTTTGGGGGGCAAGATCATGGTGTGGATCACCCAGAAGCACATCTCAGAAGATGCACATTCCGGTTTTTTATTTGAAAGGGTTGGACAGTATGGGCTCTGCTTTCAGAATGGACCCATGAAATTCCTTATCACCAGAAAAGCTGGAGAAAACGTGGATACCCTTTCTAAATGTGCCCAATCCAAGTTGGGACA